CTCGAATGGCGTCGGCTCTTAGGAGTTTGTCTATTTCCTCATTGACCGCGTTGGTGTGATGCGGGGCCATACGTCGTGGCCTCTGCTTTACTGGCTTGTGAGATGGGTCAACATGCAGCCTGTGAGTAATTATCTCGGGGTCTACTCCTGTCATTTCCATTTCGTTCCAGGCGAACACGTCTGTATTCCCTCTTAAGAACCTGATCATCTCCTCCTGTTCGGCTGCGGGCATCGAGGTCCCAACTAGGAAATACTTCTCTTCTTCTCCTTCAACCAAGGGCACCTTCCGGAGGTCTTCAACCGATCGTTCAGCTGGGTCCACCCGGGGGTCATCCATCCCCGGACGCCCGGACTGTAATTGCTATTTTTCTATGATCTCTTCCGGTGCTCGCCCCTTCTCCTGGCTGGACGCCCCGGCTCGGACGGCCGAATAAAAACAGTTCTTCGCAGACGCTTGATCCCCCCGAATCTCCATGACGCCCTCTGGCGTGGCGAACTTCAACTTCTGGTGGAGAGTGGAGTGTACCGCTCCCAACGCGTGTAGCCATGTTCGCCCCATAATCACGTTGTAAGGGGAGTCCGTGTCGATCACCACAAACTCTGTGTCGATGACGAAGGGACCAGTGGCGACTGGTAATGTAATTTTCCCCACGGGCAAGGCGAAAGAGCCGTTGAACCCGATGAGGGGTGTCCTGATTTTGGTCAAGTCTTTGGGGCCAAAGCCCATCCGCTTCAAAGTCTCGAAGTACATCACCTCCGAGGAACTCCCTGAATCTATCAAGATTCTCTTGACATCGAATTTCCCTATCTTTAGGGTCAAGACAAGGGCGTCGTTATGAGGAATCACCACGCCTGTCAAATCCGCGTCAGAGAACGTAATGCCAAGCTCACCCATCCTGGCCCTTTTACTTGATGGCCCCACATCTCCTTCGGCTACCTTTCTGGTAAAAGCTACCCTCTTGAGGTCGGATTCGAGCTCTTTGGACGTGGGGCGCTCCAGTGGACACACATGGATGACGTCTATGATGTTGGTCGGTTCCTCGGTCGGGGCAGGGGCTCGTTTTTCTTCTGGCCTAGGCTCTATGTATTCTTTCAGGTATCCATCTCGGACTAAGCTCTCCAAGAATGACTTGAACACCCTGCAGCTCTCGGTGCGATGCCCGACATCCCGGTGATATGAACACCTTACTTTTTGATCACGGGTGGAGGGGTCGCTTTGCATCCTGGGCGGCCATTTGAAGAACGGCTCGTGTTTGATTTTATGGAGCAACCTGAAGATGGGTTCCTTGAAGACGGTGTGAACTCCTCTGGACGAACCCCCTGGATGGGGTAGCAATCCCTTCCGGGGAATATCTTCGCGCTCTTTTTCCTTTCTCTTGGGTTGGAGGGCTCGGCCTTTGTTGCTCCCCATCTCGTCCTCGACCCTTGAGTACTTGTTGATTCGGGCCATCAGTTCCCCCATATCCGAGGGAGTCTTTTTGGTCAGGGATCGGTACAGGTCCGTGTCCCTCGCCAAGCCGAGCCGGAATGATGCTGCTGCCATGACCTCCGAGCATCCCTCGACCTCATTGACTTCTTCCCAGTATCGGATGGCGTACTGGCGAAGAGTCTCGGATTCCCTCCTCCTGAGGGTCAGCAGCGATCCAATGTCCTTTGGGCGCTTACTCCCCGTGATGAATCGGGTTAGGAACTGCCTTGTCAATTCTTTCCAGGACCCAATACTGTTTGGGGGAAGCGCCTCGAACCACCTCATCGCGGAGTCCCCCAAGCTCATAGGGAACACCCGGCATAGAAACCGTTGGTCCGAATGATAGAGGGACATCATCTGCTTATACTGTCTGATATGGGCATCGGGATCAGATCGCCCATCATAGGTCTTGAACCGTGGCACGACGAACTTTCTTGAGACGTCCATCTCACTGATTTCCCTCGTGAAGGGTGTTTGCATGACTTCATCCTCGGCCTCGTCCTGGATTGTCTTGCCCTTTCTTCTGGAGTCCAATCGGGCTCTGAGATCTACTTCTTCCCTTACGGGATGCCTCCTGAAGTCTCTGGGTTCGTCGGTAAGCCCCTCGTTTCCTGGGCGTCGTGTAGATTGGGTTGAGTCCTCCTCGGATTCATCTCCCTTCCTCCGTCTGGATAAACCTCGCCGGAGGTCGTCCAGGGCCAAGGGCCTTGCTTTCCTGGAATGGTTGTCAAGATGGCATTCGCCGGCTTTGGGTCGCTTCGGGGCCCTGGAGCTTTCTGCTTTGTGATCCAGGTGGTTCCTTAGATCCTTCGTCTCCGCCTCATGGACGGGGAGTCCTCGGGAGAGGAATGAATCCCTCGACCCTCCGCCTGAGGCAGCAAACTCGTCGAGCCGGCTAAGGACGTTTACATTGTCCTTCTCCAGCTGACGTAATCTATCGTCAAATTTCTCTTCTATCACCTCTGCCAGCTGACGGGCCAAGGGGGCTGTTCCTCCTGACCTGATCCCCATACTGGTTTGGGGGGTTACCCCCCTTGACCGAGTAGAGGCACTTTTAATCGTACTGGTCCGATCCCTCCCCCCGTGATGGCAGGGAGCTTGCAACTCATGACTCCGTTGGTGGGGTCCTTTCCCTTTCTGTCTGGTGTTCACCATGGTCACTGTTCTTTATAGAGAAAAGATTAGGAAAACTACTCGTTTCCCACAGACGGCGCCAGATTGTGCGGGCTCGATCCTGCACGATATATAAAATATTGGGAACAGATCTCTCCCCTGGTGAACTCTGAGTGAGCCGGTTGAGTGGCCAAATACGCTGCTTGGAACAACCTTCGAGGTACGGTGGCAACCTGGAACGGCAAAGGAAGATCCTGGGAAAGGAGGAACGATCCTGTACGTGTGGAAGGTATTTCCTGGAACAAAGGAGAACAAGTTAGAAGGGCGCCGGAGTGTTTTCCGGCGTATCCCCTCCGACGGTCTAGTCAGTCTTTGAATGAGAGAGAGGAAGGAGAAAACACTGAGAAGAATATTTTGTAGTAGAGAGTTTGTGATTGCATACCCGCTTTGTCTTTTGGGAGGGGTATTTATACCTTAGAAGATCATGATTGCTGTCAGTGTGGTCAGTAGGTAATCATCAGGCACAGGTAGCGTGTGTAATCATTTGATGAGGAATGTCTTCTCTAATTGATTGCTCGGGGTACCGAGCAATCAATGGTGAGTTGTCGGGACGCCGACGGTACAATATGCTCCTTCCGGGAAGGATGCAATGAATGCTCTGTAATAGGAGCATTTATTGCCTTTCATATCCGAACCTTACCGCATTAAATGCGGTCTCGTCAACAGAAGGGTGCAATTAATTGTTTGTTTTCCCAAGTCGCGTGCCAGCAGCGGCATGCGGTTTGTCTGCTTCGGATGTGACATTATTTGCCACGCGTCCATCCCTTATTGGTTGTTACGTCGGTATTCCAGCACGTTCTGACATTACTTGTGTAAGAAGAGGTCATGATGAATAATCCATACTGGCATAGGCTGATGTCCAGTATGTCAGTAGCCTTATCCGGGAATAGAGGAAGCGTCCAGGATGGAGTGACCCTCGGCGCCGAGGAAAGGCTCACCTCGGGACCAAGGGGTGGTGTGTTCCCGAGGTACATGGTGACCGAGGACACATGTCATTGTATAATGTACCGAATATGTGATCCTATATGAGAGGTACCTCGGGGGAGAGGACGCCTTTGCCGATGGTGCTCGAACCCGAGCAACATTGTTCTAAAAACCCCGAGGACACGTGTCTTCATCATAGGCTTTTCAGAAGAGTCCCATCAAGGACTAACTTTTTTAGGTGCGAAACAGAAGTTTAAAAAGTGAAATAAAAATATCAGAGTTAAAAAAATTCTTGGACCGGTTAAATTGTTTCTAAAAAATTAACTTTTCCTTTAAAGCTCTTGAATAAACTCTTTTTTTTTAAACTTTTCTTTAATACTGATAGAAGCTATTTTTGCCCAAAAAAACTAATGAAAAAACTTCTCAATAAGCCCCCAAACGGACCAGGTTTCTTTTTCTCATAAACCAAAAAAAAAAACTGTTTTTTGTTGTCAAAATTTCAAAAACACCTAAAACTTGTTTGTTTAACATTTTTGTTCTCTAAATTTTGAAAAAAAAATGAGATTTGAATCAAATAAACAGAAAACAAGTGTAGCATATTTTTAGAATTTTCTTAAAAAATTTTAAAAACAAGAAAAACAATTTTAGATGTTCAAATATGAGTGTATATATATATATATATATATATATATATATATATATATATATATATATATATATATATATATATATAATTGTCAATATAAAAATAACTTTTTTATATTTTTTTATTAATGTTTAAATTACTATTCAAATATATATTTAGACTGTTCAAACAGATTTTACTATTTTCTGTATTGTAAAATTATTTTTGAAATCATCTAACCAAACAAATTTTTATCTCAAAAGATATCAAAACTACTTACTTAAGACTCTTTTCAAAAACTGCTTTCGAATACTATTTTTTAAAATACAAACCAAACATGCCCTAAGATCTTCAGCTAGCTCCAAACAGGCCTAATGATACTAAACTATGTAAAATTCTTCATCATTAAACAAATTTTGGTTGTTATTAGCCACCAAGCAAAACGTTCAAACAATAAAGGGTGAATTACAATGAGTGACCAGGGGAAAAAACCCACATCATCAACATGTGTAAGAGATGACCAGGTGAATTTCTTCCCCCACACACTCCCTAATCTCTATTACACTTTCCCTCGGTTTAAGTCAGTGGTAAATCGCCTATAATAAATTTAAATAAGACCCAGTATTTATAAATGAACTCCTCACCCGTAGATAATGTGTCAATGGAGTGTCTTCGATAGTATGTGTTCTACCGTGAAATGAGAGAAAATGCAATAGAGTTTATCAAAATCCCCACCCCACCCCACCCCAAAAAATCCCAACAGAATCGAGAGGTTAGCTGGTTGCAATCTTCAATTTGCGGATTCAGGATTCACAAGACAGATGTGGCCTTCAATTTCGGTGTCTTCTGTTTAACAAAGAAAGCAGAAAGCACACTCTTGCTGCGAACTGGGGCGTGGACAATCTCACGTCGGCGTGGGTTATCAAATGATCGGAATGCTGTCAAAGACTTGGAGCCCTCCTGAGAATCCTACAAAAGAAACACTTTTAACATCTTTTTCTCATCCAACAAGACAAGTATAAGAGAACAAGCAAATTTACAAAACAAGAAACAAATAAATATACTTCCGAACTAATGGGAGAGGAGAGTAGTAAAATCTGCGACAAAAAGCTACCTAGTGTTTTCACTGGTAGAAAATTACTACAGGTAAGTACACCAGCTGGAATAGGCATGTTTGAGTTCTTGTTGATTTTGACATTACCTCCTGTATGGCACCTAATGTTTGCATAGCTGCAATTGAAGCAGGCCCCAGATTGGACAACTGACGGTGAGCTGGTGAGGATTTCGTCCTTGTCCCGTCTTCATCATATGCAAGTATACAAATTAGAAACAGAAACACTAATATTTTTGCTCAATGGAGAAGATAATCCAGCAGCAGCACAATAGTAACCAACAACTATGCATACCAAACGAATTGAACACCCCAGAAGTTTTCGAGTCTTCAGTGCTGCACAAATAAGGAGACATAAATAACATAGCTCTATTGGAATATCAGTGGCAGTTCCATTCATCAAAAATAGAAATGTAGACTTAGCATTGTCATCTCCATTTGCTGAATTTCACGGACTAACCTCATCAACACACGTGAAGTCCCTTTCAAGGTAGACTTGGTTTCTGATGCTAAATGCCAAGACAGAGTGCTTGATGCTGGGGTACCTAAATTCAATGCATGACATAAGTGATACAATATGCAGTGATTCCTCACTAGACAAAAAATTCTTACACAAATGTGAGTAATGACATGACATAAGCATCTGTCAGCGATAAATCAACTACCTGAAGGATAAAGACGAGATCTTGCTTGAATATGACTTTGTCTGGCATCCGTCTGTCTTTGTGGGCTAAAATGCACCTTCTTGTTTACTGAATCTGCTTGCAAGTCAAACCAGTTAAGCAAATGGAAAATAAGAAAAGAATTCCGATCACCACATATAGAAGAACATAGCAGTAATTAGTCTTACTTGGCAAGATGTAATGCTTGTGATGCTTTGGGATGATTGGTAATAACTGTTGCTGCCTGAGACCTTCTTTATCCGTATAGGTTTGGCATGTTAGAAGTTGCTTAAAAATAGGACAAAAGGACAAAAATAAATTCCGCTTCTCTAGTTATTCTTCTAAGAAAAAACTTCAATTAGACAACTGCAGAAACCTTACCTGATTTAAACATGTAACCCTCAGCTCCACGGATGAAACATCCGAGGCTTGTTGCTCAAGAAGGTCAGTTAATTTGTAGGCAACGGTGCCAATGTGGTCAACAGCATTGACAAGCGCCCGTACAGCATAACCTTTCAGGTTGTCTAGCACCCTATACACATTTTCAAATCAAATTACAGTACAAGAATGGTAAGAGTGCACAAGACCCATAAACGTTACAAAATGTACATACAAAAAAAACGAAGCAGTAGACTAAAGTTTGTATCACATTCCAACACATACAAATGGTGGAGATATATCAAGCAATATTGTCGTACCATTTTTTCACCACCCTAAATACGAGGATTAATGAATTGAAAGCTTAAAAGTGCCAAGGTGGTCAACAGCATTGATAAGGGCTTGTATAGCATAATCTTTCAGGTTGTCCAATACCCTATACATGTTTTGAAATAGCTTCCCATAGAAGCAGAGTAAGAGTGCCCAAGACCCGGAAACAGTATAACTTCCAGACATAAAAAATTAAGTTTATCTCACAGTTCAACACAAACAAATGGTGGAGACCAATCAAGTGAAAGTATCTTACCATTTTTGTCACCCTACTAAATAGAAGGATTAATGAATTAAAAGCTTACCCATACATATTTCTAGGATAGCCTGGCAATAAACCTGCTTCGATGCTGGGTGGGCCACGGATAACAAAAAACCAAGGCTTGTGCCATCGTGCATCAAAATATCTACTTGTTCACAAGAAACAATATTCCAGATACATGAAGCTCCAAATCTGATGGAAAACTCTTTGAGAAAGAGATCTCATAATTTGCAACAAATAATTTTAAGTCTTGCAAACAGAGGATGGAAATGTGCCACATCATCAGTTACACTTCAAGGGCATCTAAATTACAAAATTTTCCTAGTAAATAAATGCTCAAAATCAGTATCAATTGAACAATGAGCTCAAAAATTACAATTCTAATTGCTGCACCATTGATTTTTTGGGGGGTGTACCATATAAAAATTAGAAAGAATGACAAGTAACCTATGGCTCTCCTACTCTCCTATCATACAACTCCTGTGGAAAACCTTAGATCTCATGAAGTACACAAAAACTTTACTCTGCAACAAGTGAATCAAGTAATTTCAAATTTAGTGGCAGCAGTCTTACATTTGTTTCTGTTCACTGTGAAGATAAGACTTTTCACAATATTCAGCAGCAGAATAGAGTTGAGGTCTTATGGTTTTGAGTTCCTGAAATGTTCATGACACCACGATCAAATTGGAAACAATGCAACAAATTTTCTGACAAATGGCCAAAACTGTGATCAGAAACTATTGAGAAATGTGTGCTACCAAAATAGAGCAAGCACACCCAAAACAATTTCTACAGCAATAGCAGTTTGCAACACTTTCTGTAATACATGATAATAAGTCAAGGATTTCAGCCATCTTACGCCAAAGTACAGGATTTCACAAACTAAAATTGAATAGAATGAAACAAAATCCATGGGCCTGCACTTACTTAAGTAATAGGTAGAGCAGATTAATTTCAAAAAGGATTAGACCAAGGGAAATCATGGCATATGTTTACAACAAAAAGGCTCGATGAGATCAATAAGGTTGTGTATCCAATTCCAGTCCACAAGGCCACAAGGGTCGTTGAGTCGGCTGAGGTGATGCTTCGTTGAAAAACATCTCAAGTTCAACTCTCTCTGGCTTGTTCCAGACAAAACGCAGTTGGGTGATTGCATTTGTATTGTAGACGACATCTTGGCAACACCCACCAAAAAATGAAAGAAGACAAAGACAAAGACAAAGACAAAGACGAAGTTGTGGGCTTTACAAACTTCAAAATTCTGGCATCATTGGTCATAGAAATTTATATCTTTTAAAAAAAGAAGTTAAAATTAACAAAACCCATCTGATTTAGTCATCTATGAAAAAGGTGATGTAGTTGACTCAAAATTTACAATATCCACCGATGATGATGGATTTAAGTCTAAGCCCTCTCTTGCGCCCAATGTCTCTGATAGGCTCATCAAAGATAAACCAAGCAGTCCTTCTGGATGACATTTTCCATATGGACCATAGCCTCGCTCCATGGAAAGCACCAGTGCCCAGGTCGGCCCCCAACGAGTTTAGTGATAACCATTTGCATGGGAGTTTGAGCTCGGTACTAAGCGGATTTGATATAACCCTGATTGTGCCGCGTGGACAAGGGACTGGGGGACAATGTTTGACAATTCTAACAAACAAATATTTCCATGCATTCTATTTCAAAGTTAGCGGGCATAGAAAACGTGAGGTTGGCAAGACCGCTACAGGACAAATGACGAAGGGACCACAAAATCAGTCAGAAATGAAAGAATTATAGAAACCTAATACCAAGGGGTATAAATAGGAGATGAAGTTACAGTAGAGGGAGAGAACACCATAGGCAACCTAAGAAATACTTTGTAAAAGGCTCTCATCCAATCCTTATGTAATAAGTACCTTCTTTTTTAAGCAATACAGGAGCAAGAGTCTTCATTAGATAGGATGTAGCCTTAGTCTTTCAGCTGAAGTGAAAGACTCTTCATCATCTTTCACACACTGAACACACCACCATCCACAAACACACACAAAGTCCCTTCTGAGCTTCACCCCATTGGGTAAACAGATTTCAAAAACCATCACCCACAACATGTAGAACAAATCTAGCAATTATAGCTAGCTGTCAAACAAACAAAAGAAAATTCATCAATTTTTCTTGGAATTGAGAAGAGAAGACACAGGCGAGTAGCATTTATATTGTGAACATGAAATTCAATAATAAACCCGCAAACGTTAAGATCGTCAACCTAACACTCAGAAGAGAGCGGGTGTCTTTAATAAATCTGTGCGTGCAAGATCCTGCACAATATAAAAAACGAGAACAGATCTCTCCCTTGGTGAACTCGAGTGAGCCGGTTGAGTGACCAAACACGCTGCTTGGAACAGCCTGTGAGGTCCGGTGGTAACCTGGAACGGCAATGGGAGACCCTGGAAACGGAAGAACGATCCAGTAAGGCTGAAAGAGGTTCCTGGAACAAAGAAGAACAAGTTAGAAGGGCGCCGGAGTATTTTCCGGCGTATCCCCTCCGACGATCTAGTCAGTCTTTGAGAGAGAGAGAGAGGAAGGAGAAAACACTGAGTGTGTATTGTAGTAAAGAGTTTTTTGTTGCATACCCGTCTTGCCTTTTGCAAGGAGTATTTATACCTCAAAAGCTCATGATTGCTGTCAGTGTAGTCAGTAGATGATCATTAAGTACAGGCAGTGTACGCACTGATTCTGATGAGGAATGTCTTCTCTTCTTAACTGCTCGGGGTCCCGAGCAATCAATGCTGGGTCATCGGGATGCCGACGGTACAATGTACTCCTCTCGGGGAGGATGCAATAAATGCTCTGTATTAGGAGCATTTATTGCCTTTCATTTCCGAGCCTTACCGCATTGAATGCGGTCTCATCAAGGGAATGGTGTAATTAATAGTTTGCTTTCCCAAGTCGCGTGTCAGCAACGGCATGCGGTTTCTCTGTCTTCGATGTGATATCATATGCCACGCGTCCATCCCTTATTGGCTGTGACCCCTGCATTCCAGTACGTTCTGACACTAATTGTGTAAGACGAGGTCATGATGAATAGCCTAGACTAGCCTAGGCTAATGACCTGTACGTCAATAGCTTATCCTGGAGTAGAGGAAGCGTCCAGGATGGGGTACCTCTCGGCACCGAGGAAAGGCTCATCTCGGAACCGAGGGAGGTATACCGACCGAGGTACCATATCAGACCGAGGCCACGTGTCGGTTGTAAAACATACTGAATGCATGATCCTATATGATGGGTACCTCGGGGGCGAGGACCTTGTGCGCCGATGGTGCTTGATCTTAGCAACAGTGTTTTGGTAATACCGAGGACACGTGTCTTCATCATGGAGCATTTCAGAAAAGTCCCATCAACTGCCCCCCAGCCTTCGATCTTCTGACACCGAGGACACGCGTCGTAAGGAGACGAAGGGTTTCCCAACAACCACCAATGCTTCATCATTGCCTCGAGCCGCTTTCCCGGCTTGGGATGTCGTGCGCATTAAATGCGCCGTTTCGTTTTTCGCGCCCAATGATGAAAATTGCCTCTATATAAATGGGGCTCCTCTTCCGTTTTCCTTGTTTTGCCATTCCGAACTTCCTCAAGAGAGCCTCTTCTTGAATCTTCGCCGGAGATTTGTTTCTTCTTCCATCGTCGACTGCCCATTCTTCCTTAAAGTCTTAAAGCCAGCAGACCCATCGTTGCTTCTGAACTTTCTGGAAGGAGTCGCTTTAAGGTTTTCCAGAAAAAACTCCGTTTTGACATTCGGGTGAGTTTCAGTATCCTCCTTCTTTTCTTCCTCCTATCCTTTTGTTTTCCGATGACTGGAGGTGTCTCCGGTTGATACATAGCGATTAACCCTCGGGAAACTTCCTCAGGGATTTTCAAGAACAAACACCCTCTTCTTTCTCACTTTTTTAGAGATGCCTCGTCGTCGCCCTGCTCCCGAGAATCCTCAGGCTGGTTCTTCGGGGTCGGGGAAATATAAAGTAAAGGGTGGTGAGCAGATTGATAGGTTTAAGGTCAAGTACGGCATTCCCCCGTGCGTAGACGTAGAGGATTATGACCCGGTGGTGCACTCTTCTACCCTCGGGGCCGAGGATGCCATGCCCTTTTATACCAAGGCCATAATAGAGGGAGGAATTAGGTTTCCTTTACCCCCCTTACTTCTTCAGTTCCTTTCTCACTTCCGCCTCTTCCCCGGGCAATGTTGCCTTAATGTTTTTCGAATAATTATGGGGGTCTTAGAGCTCAATAGGCGCCTCGGGATAAATATTGGGCTCAACGATCTCCTTTTTTGTTATTCCCTCCTGAGAGTCATGCCTCACCAACACTTCTACCTCAAAGCCAGGGACCCCTCCATGTACCTTGTAACTCATCTTCCCGACTCGGACAAGGGGTACAAGGATGATATTCTTATCTTCAAGGGATCTTGGCAGAGAGGTGTTGGTCCCGAGTATAATGACTTGTTATGCCCTCTGGAATGGAGAACGACAAGTACGTCGGTTCCTTTGGGTTTATTATTTCTTTCTCCAGACTTCCCATGTTCATGACTACTTTTTTGTTTGTGCAGATATTCCTGCTCGGGAAACAGCTCCTCCCCCTCGGTCGCTGGTGAACTTTGCCGACCTAATCACGGTTTGGAGATTCACGGGTGACAACGGGTTCGGCCGGGCTGCCCACATCCTGCTGAATTATACCCCCGGGTATAAGAAATTTTCACAGCTTCCTCAGCCTTTTGAGCCTTCGCGGTGGTCTGAACTCTTCGATCAGGCGGCGAGGCTAGAGGTTGAGGAAAACTTGGAGGAAGACCCGGATCGGGCTTCGGAGGCAGAGGTAGAGGGAGTAGTCGAAGAGCTCGGGGTCAGAGAGGACGTTGTTCCTTCGGACGCCGAGGTGGGGACTTCGGGAGGAGACTTGTGGCCAGACTTCCAAGTTCTACAATCTTAGACGCCGAGGACGCCCTCGAGGTCGCGATGTCCAGCACGCCTCGCATCGACCTGGGGTTCCTGAGGCAGAGGCAAGCCCTTGCAGCCGGGAGGGGTCGAGGATCGACCGGCGGCGCCCCCTCTGCAGGGACCAGTTCCACCCCATCCTCAAGAGTTCTCAGCCGGGGTCAAGTGCGTGACCGGGATCCTCAGGTAGAGGAAACATCGGCACGATGGCCTCGGCCGGGGATCCAGGGCACCTTCCGCTCAGCAGCAAAGCGGGAGAGGCCGTGGGTTACCCCCTGCTCCTCCACAACAGCAGCAGCAGCAACAGCCACGACAACAGCAACAACAGCAGCAGCAGACTCCCCCTTCCCTTCCGCCGACAGTGGAAGCCGCGGAGTGGAATCCCCGAGCGACCGATCACATGAACCGAGTGATCAGGGTCGATGATTCCATTTTGCTGGATCCTCATGTCGCCAATGCAGTGAGTGAGACACTGCATTTCGAGGCTGACATGGCGGCTCATAGGGGGCGATCAACCAACGTGTTGTTCCGCTCCATCATCCAGAATTCCCTGGTGGTGAGTTCATTTTTGCTTTGGTTTCTTCTCTCTCGCTTTCCATTTTTGTGATACACCTTTTTCCCTCCTTTGCAGGCTACCCAGCAGATCTCCATAATAGCTGCCCGGTACCATGGGTCTAGGATGGACCTCCAGCGGGCCCGAGAGCAGAAGGAAGAGGCGGAGGGGGCCCTCGCCCGAGCAATGGAGGACGTAGCTGCCAGGGACTCTACCCTGGCGGGGCAGGCTGCTCAAATCGAGCAACTCCTCAAGGATGCCGAGTCGGCTAAGGTTGGCGCTGAAAAGCTAAGTGCTGCCCTTGCCGATGCTGAGGGGAGGATTACCGAGCAGACGCGGC